CCGCCGCCGCTCGTCTTCGACTGCCCCCCTATTAACGTTCATTTAATATATATTAATAATAATATTTATTTAATATATATTAATAATAATATTTATTTAATATATTTAATAATATTATTTATTTAATATATTATTACATGTTTTCAAAACTTAAACCACCAAACGCGGTTTCAGTTTTTTTTAAAACTGAAATTAATTTCTGAATAAAACTACCAAACGCATTTTTAAAAATAATTTTAAAATGAAAATAAAAATATATTTATTTTTATTTTCATACAAAAGAATAAAAACGTTTTGAAAACAATTCCAAACGCACCCTTTGTTTTTTGTTTTGTTTTTGTTTTTGTTTTGTTTTTATTTTTTATTTTCCCCTTCACTGTGTCTCTCTCTCTCTCTCTCTCCCCCTCTGCTCTCTCTCTCTCTTCCCTTCTCGCCCAATCTCTCACCGGACAATCGCCAGAGTTTTCACGAGTAATCACCGGAGTAAGCTCTCTATCGTTCTCCTTTGGACCTGATCGAGTCGCTGTTGATGGATTGAACGGAGTTTTCCGAACAATCATCGGCTCTTTTCTCTTTCTCCCTCATCGGACGTCTCATTTTCATAAAACGCCCGCCGCCGCCGGCGAATCCTCCGAAGCACCAAGCGACCTCGCAGGAGGACAAGTTCGTCGACGAGGACGTCTTCTTCGATGAAACCGTCGTCATTGAGTACGAGAACTCCCTCATCCTCCGCGACCGCGACGAGAGCCACATCATCACCTCCCGACTCTCACCTCCGCCTCGCGCAATGCCGGTCAGTCATTGATTTCCCCTAATTTTCTTTCTCGTACTGTGTTTGTTAGGCGCTAATTGGATCTCGCTTAGGGTTCGTGGAAATTTTGGGCTCGGTCTAGTTGATAGATTTTGACTATTGTAGTTTTTCAGCAGTTAGAGATTGACTATGGATCCTCCGTTAAAGGATTGCTAGAATTTAACCAAAAAATCGTTGCTCAGCTCTCTTTCTCTTCCTCTTCGGATCAAAGAATCGCACTGAAGAGTCGTTGGGGTTATGATTGTTGAAACTCACTTCTGGATCTTTCCAGTATTTTTCTCTGTGTTGTGGATTTTGCTTGGTTTTTTTTTTTTTTTTTTTTGTCTGTGGAATTCGAACTTTCGTGCTAGGAACAGATGAAGATCAAATAAACAAGATCTACTTGATTTATTATGTTGGGACCTTGTTAGGCACAATCTTTGTTAATCTATCAGCTATATTCTTTGTCCCTATTTTGTCACACGCAACATAGATTAAGAATTTCTTGAGTTTGCTATGTTGGATGAATAAGAGAACATTTTACTTTGGATAAAAACCTTGTCAATTCTCTCATCAGTCCCTCTTCCCAAACATCAGCATTTAGAGCTGTGCTTTTCTGATTTTTTTTCCTTTAAAAGGTGCACATACTATTGCATTGGAGCAGAAGACCGAGAAGCTGTGGAAGTTTTTCTATGTTAAGTTGACAGGTGATGATACTTAACCTCTCTAATTCCAGAACACATAACGTCAGCTTGATCTATTGCCTTTATTTGTGATTTGTGTTTTCTCAAGTTATTGCCCATTTGAGATGATATGTTATCATAATGGGATGCGACTTGTAATATGCATTGGCAGTGCTTCTGTTTTCAATAATGCAAGCACAACATTTTGTGATGGCACTCGATTTGGACTTGGTGCAGAGGGATAATAAAAATATATAACGCTTGCCACAAAAGTTGGTATTCTCATTTCCATTTCTCTTATATTTGATTTTCTTTGATTGCATTATAGGTCGGAATAAGCACAAGTCGAGTTCATGCTTGAGGTACTGTAGGAGTGGAAGGATTGCTAACAACAAGATGGTATTGATTGCTGATTTCAATATACTGATACCTTGTTTGCGCTTTTCCTATTGATCTTAAGAATTTTTTGTATATTAGTTAGCATCTGGAAGTAGCATTGAGAGTGGACTACAAAACTGATGATCTTAGTGATATAGATTCATGATACTACCAAATGACATAACATTTTCTTAGAATGAATTAGGTAGGGTTCAACATTTATACTCTGGATGTAACTACTGCTGTGTGCCATGTTGCAATTGCAGGATCCTTAAAGGAAGTGGGCAAGTAGTGGATGGTGATAAAGGGGTTGTCTACACCCACAAGGATCTCCACATCAAGTCCTAAGCCTATGGATAGAGTCACAAACATCCATCACAGCCTTTGCCGCTGCCTCTTCTATGTCCCTGCTGAGGAAAGGTGACCATTAGTAATTTAATAATGAGATCACATCATGGTCCTTTTTTTTTGGTTTAGGTATGAAGAAACACATATTCTAAACATTTAATGCTATTTTCCCTTTTACATCTTTTACATTACATGTCTTGTTTGTTATTGAAATGCTCAAATGGAAAGGGAGGTTTTTGGCAATGTGGTCGATCGCACCTGAAATTCTGCGCGTGCCTTATGGTCCAAAAGCCAATAGTTGGAGTGCTGGGGTGATTGTTTACATTCTCTTACGCTCCTCCATTTCGGGGTGGTAAGCTTTTTTTCAGATCTCTTGTAGTGGATGATTTTGTTTTTCTCTTTATATACCTTAGTGACATATTTCATCACAAAGCAAGTAAATGTAACATACAATATCTTTTTTGCTCCTTTTGTAGAAGACGAGCATGACATATTTGAAGAGGTTTTGCATGGTGACCTTGACTTCTCATCAGATCTTGGCCTAGTATGTGACGATGCAAAAGATTTAGGGAAGAAATGCTACATAGTGATCCTAAAAAACGGCCAACAGCTCATAAAGTTCTTTCTAAGTTTTTCTTCATTTTTTTTTCTTGTTTTTGTCAATAGTGGTTCTTAGCCTAGAGTGTACACAAATTGTCGATGTAGGTGAGAAATAATTATTTCTTGGATTTGGAATGAAAGTTCATATTAGTGCTATATTTAGTATGGACTATGAGAACTTTAGTAGGTAATTTGCTGCTTTGATTCCATGCAGCGCAGGTCCATGGGTTCAAGTTGATGGAGTGGCACCAGACAAGCCTCTTGATTCCGCAGTCTTAAGTCGCTCGAAGCAGTTTTCTGCAATGAGCAAACTTTAAAAAATGGCTATCAGGGTAAGTTCTAGGAATTTCTTACACACAAACTGTAATGACTGAGAAAATCATGATGTTAATTAGTGTAATTTACGTAATGAAATTATGAATTTCCTGGATAATGACATGTTTTGTAATGAAGGATTTATGGAATTAGTAATATTATTCCAAAATTCTAAATAAAAATTTGTTGTCAAAAATTTTAGTGTCATAACTCAGTCGATAATCCCCACTGCGATTTAAGGCGGGAGAAATTTTCGATTCGACTATGACTCGTAATTATGTTCATAAGAATTTTTGAGTACTGTATAGTGTTAGCAGTACTCTGAGAAGCACTCTAAGTGCTCTGAGAAGGACTATAACATTTAAAGAAATCCTTAATTGCCAATTAGTAAAATTGGTGTTACGCGAGTTGCGTTTTCTGTAAAACCGTAAAGTCGGGCTCAGAAATTGACACTGTCAGTTATTATGTTTTATTGCGAGTTTAAAACACATATTTTAAGTTGTTTTAAGACAAATTTTAAAGTTTGGAAACAACCTGAATAATCTACGCAATTTTTTAAATCTAAATCGATATTAATTTCTTCAGAATATAGTGTTGGACTTAAAATCATTGGAAATTATTTGTCCTGTTAATTGATCTAGAAATTATTGTCAGCATAAGTTTAATCAATTTAAGAAGGAATCTTTGGGAGACAAAATGAAGACAAGGATTTAACCTTGATATGACAAGGGCTTTAAGTCATCATTAAGTGTAAATTTTCTCTCTCTTCTCACTAAGTATGACCAGCCATACTAAGCATTTTTTTTAATCAAATTCTAGTCCATAGACTTGATTAAGAAGGCCTTAATTAGTGATAAGTTAGCTTAGTTATTTGTCTATATATACCACCACTTAGAATTAAGCTCATTTTTACCATTTCTTTATTTTTTTCACTTTTTCTTTTCACCTTGTTTGGCCGACCCCTCAAGTTCTCTCTCTCAAATTTTTTCCACTTCTCTCACACAAGGTAGATTTCAAACCACAATCTAGAAGAAGGAGAAGGAATTTGTGTAGGAATTCCTAGCACTTTCAAGGGTAAAGATCAAAACTTTTCTCCTTTAATTTTCTTTGTTCAAAGTTCTAACTTTTCCTTAAAAGTTTAAATCTTTCTAGGAATTTCTCACTTTGGTGGTCAAAACCATTCCTTTTCTAAGGTTTGTGGTAAGATTATTTTAAGAACAAAGTTTGTGTTTTTATTGTTTATATGTGTTAAAAGGTTAGATCTTCACATGCAAGGAGTTTTAATGTTAAATCTATATTTTTGAATTTGTATTTTATGGTCTAAGGTTGCTGTTTTGTGTGTTTCGAACTAGACCTAAGCTTTGCATGTTAATTTTAAGAGGTTAAAGATGCAAAAAAAAAAAAAAAAAAAAAGTTGATAAGTTTCTGTTTTGGCTTAAAAATTTCAGTCCGCTTTGATTTAAAATTTGGAGCTGTTAGAGACCAAATTGAAAAAAAAGTTGTTTCATGAAACTTGTAGATCTCAACGTGTTGAACATTCCTTCGTGACTTAGAAAAATCTCAATTATGTCTCTAAAATGTGTTTTTAGACGTTTTTTCAAAACTGTCCATAATTTCATATAAATTGTCCAAAATTGTCAATTTGAGTTAGTTTCTGTTTTACTGTTTTTAGACCTTTTGGAAGGCAATTTCGAGATTTCTTACTCTCATGTCTTACAGGTTTCGACGTTACAGACAAATCTCTGTGAATGCGAAAAATCACAATTATAACTCTAGGACGCGTTTTCGGGCCATTTTTAAAAATTGCGCAAAATAATATTTGTGCAGCCACTATTTTTAGATTTCGGGCCGTTCCGAGACCGACTGAACCTCATTTTCAGTGAAACGTGAAACTTTTAGATCGCGACGAGACGAAGTAACTTCGCAAAGCTCAGATTTTAAGAATTAACCTCTAAGCCGTAGTTAATTAAAAAAAGGGAAAAATTAACAGGTAAGATTTAAAACGGTTCAAATTTCTAGCGAAGAACATTTGAATCTGAGTTTTACAAGAATTAAAATTTTAAGACAATTTAATAAACGAGGCCAAATAGGAAATTTTAGAAGATTTACAAACTTGTGGTCATCTTCTAAAAATAATCACTAAGTGCTTCTTGACACTAATTTTTAGTAATTGATAATATTACTAACAGTAAAATATGATTAACTAATGATTTTTAAAAATATGATCGAATTTCTATGAAAACATAGGTACGAGCCCAACACCCGTACTTGGCTCGCAACTTTTTGAGTTTAAGTTCGACACACCGGTGTAAAGGAACGTTGTAGACATGTTGTAGACTAATGGGTCTTATTATAATTTTGGGCCCAATCTAAGAAATAATATGAATCGGTAACTTAGACATAGACCATGATTTATATAACTAATTAAAAGATTAAGTTATCAACTTAATACCGATTAGCAAAGGCAATTAAGGGAAATTATACGATAAAGATTTAGTAAAATAATCCTTATAATATGTAAGAAGTCAAAAGATCCTTGTTTAAAAAGGAAATATTTTCTAAGCATAGGAATAAATTTCTAAATAAACTAAGCTAAATAGATTAGCTTATATTAAGTCAAACTCACACACTCAGTGGGTTTTCTTTACAGAACACAACAGTAGAGGTTAACCTCGGCGAGTAATATAGTCCCGACCTTGACTGATAGTAAGTAAGTAGAAATCTCGTTTACAGTATAAATAAGTTTAAAAACAGAATGTTATATATGCTTTATGTACATGTTTATGCTTAAAGTTATAGTATGTTATGCCATGACATATCACATGCTCACTATTAAGATCTATATGACTAATAAGAACATTTAAGAGTGTCGTACCAACCTCTCGACTTACGGGAAGGATTTAAGGTATGAGAAAGCAATCATTCAGTACCTAAGGAGGTAAATTAGGGTCACGGTATAGTTAGGGACCTTGAAAACCCTCTCTATCAGCTGAGCGTGCGCACATCTCAGTACGTACACTCAAGCCCAGAGGAATAATAAAACAGGTTTATAAAAAACATAATTAGTACATGCATTATTGATATACTTTAAGTACTTTATTTTAATTAAAGAGATTTAGTTCTACTTACTGAATATAAACTCACCTCTAGGATGTATTTATACTATAAGAAAACAACTAATGAAAGGTGAATGATGGGTTGTATGCAACGGCATGCGAGTAGTGTGGAGAATGAGAAATGGATACCGCTCGCATTTTAATTTCGCAATATATTTTGTTATGATAAGACTTTTTAATTGTATATATGCAGTATGGTTTTAAGATGATTGAGACTTCTTATATAATTTAAAAATTAATATATGTTAATTTAATATTAAAGTTAAGGTTATTTTCCTTTATTATGTGATATATAAATAAAAAAATTCACAAATTCAATTTAATTAATTCAAGTATTTTAAGCGATTACATGTTAATGAATTTAAAAGACGACTACTTAGTTAGGGTCATCACACAAACACTACTCAATCCAAAGTGTTGGTCAATATGATAAAGTTTCAGTTTAATCCCACTAATAGTTTATGACGTTTACCCTCAATCTCACTTTGATCCCTGACTTTTAAAAAGTCCCGCATTTAGTCCTTGAGGTTTTACTCTCTTACAAGTTCAATCATTCTGTTAGTTTGGTGTTAAATATATGACTTAATATGTGTAAATTAGTGAGCAAAATTGAAAACATCTAAAATTTAGAGACTATTCATGGAAATCAACTTTCATTTTATTTGTATTATTTTAGCCCCTAAAGTTTAAATAAACTTTAAATATTTTTAATTTTGGTTTCTAATTCCACAGATTTCATAAAAAATTTAACACCTAGATGACGGAATGAGCGAAATTGAAACAAAATAAAACCTGCGAGACTAACTGTGAGACGTTTTAAAAGTGAGGGACTAAAGTGGGATTGAGAATAAACTTTAAGGACCATTTGTGAGATTAACCCAAAAGTTTGTATAAATCAAGGTTTTAGAAGATTAAGATTGGGTCAAATTAATTTTGAAGAAGTAAAAGGTGGATTGAGAAGATTTGGAGCTAATCTAAATGAGTCTAAAATTTATCAGCTAATGTAGGCAGTCATCTCTACATCATGTTATGCAATGCTAAACCAAATGCTCTCTTTCTCATTAACAGTTAATTAAACCTGACACATTATTCATTCAATAATATTTTAAATGATAATTATCCCTATCTTTGGAAAAGTTTTCTGTTTTAAGTTCATAGTTAAGAGTGTGCTACTACTTTGACAAAATGACAAATTTGTCAAATTAGCTACAAAGTTCCTAGTCATTTGTGACAAAATGACTTGCAGATAAAAGTACTAAATTCAGCTACAAAATAAATTTTGTAGTTAATGGTATCACATTTAGCTACAAACTCACAATTTTTCTAGCTAAGTACTTTTAATGTCAACGATATAACTACAAATAAAAAATTTGTAGCTAATTCTCTTAGCTACAAAATTTTGACATATAGCTTCAAATTTGCTTTGTAGTTAAATCAAAGTTTTTTTTAGTGAAAAAAGAGAATTATGCACTTTTTATACTTGTATTTATCTTGCCTTTGTTCGGAAAAAGGAAAACATTTAAAGCACGTGCACATAACATTAAGATTCAAACCTTTAACTGAAATTTCTTTAGCATAATCTTGACGGTTAACACTTGAAAAGGAAGAATATATTAATAGAAGAATTAATATATATACCTAATCAGCTTCATATTTTTTAGATATCTAAAAACGAGATAACTAAAGTTTTTTTTTTTTTTTTAAAGAGAGATAACTAATTTCAAAAAAAAAAAAAGAAGAAGAAGGAAAGAGATAACTCCATAAAGAAAATATATATACCTAATCAGCTTCATATTTTTTAGATATCTAAAAACGAGATAACTAAAGTTTTTTT